TTTTTTTTTTTTTTTTTTTTTTAAAATTTTTTTTTTTTTTTTTTTTTTTTTTTGTTTTTCTTTTTTTTTCTTTTTCACCTTTTTATTAAACTTCTATATTTTTATTTTTAGTATATTTGTATTTTTACATATTTTCTTTTATTAATTTTTTATTGTTTAAAATTCATTTACCAATGCAAAATTTCTCTAATATTTTATTTAAAATTTGCTCCTTTTTAAATTCTCCAATGATATGATTTAGAGAATTAACAGCTAATTTGATTTCTTCAGCTATTATATCAAAAGTTAAGTTTTGTTTATTTTTTTTTATAAAAAATAAATGCTTCAGTGATTTTTTTAGATAAATTTTATGTCTTTCAAATGGTAAAAAGAAAATTTTTTCCTTTTTTGAATATTTGATATTTCTTTTTTTCATCATTCTTTTATTAAAATATTTTAACATTTTATCAATGTTATATCCCTTCTTAGATGAAATAAAAAATATTTTTTTACTAACTTTTTTTAAAACACGTAAATCTAAATATTTAAGTAGTATTTTTTTTATATTTTTTCTTATATTTTTATATGATTTTGACAATTTTAAATCGCATTTATTTACACAAATAAAAAAATATGGAATTTTTTTTTTTTTTTTTTTTTTTGTTTTATTAAAATATTTATTTAAAATAAAGATAATATTTTTTAGTTCTTTTACATAATGATTTATATTTAATAAAGTAATCACAGATAAACATTTTTTTAAATATGTTAAAGTTTTTTGAATTCCAATAAATTCTAACTTTTTATGAATATTTTTTTGTCCTTCTTTTTTTTCTAGAAAGAATTCATAACTTGTCGTTATATCATTTTTTGAATAACAGGATTTTTTCATAATATTACTAATCATACCTGCTGAATCACATAAATTATAAGAGTTGTTTTGAATTTTAATATTTTTTTGTATTACATCTATCGTTGAACCTTTTATATTAGTAACAATTGATATATTATCATTACAAATATAATTCATTAATGTACTTTTACCAGAATTAACGTTTCCGAATATTAATACATCTAATGAATTAGATAAATCTTCTACATTTTCTTTTTTTAAAATTTCCTTTATATTTTTTATAGAGTCATTTAATTTTTTGTTAAAAAAATTATTAATGTTACTTCTTTCTCTTTCTGTTGAAGTATGTTCATCTTCAAAATCAATTTTAAATTGAGTAAATACTAATAACTTTTTTAAATTTTTTTTTAATTTCATATATATATTTTTAGCATAACCGCTCAAATAGTTTAAGGCTATTTTTTTTTGTATCTTTTGTTTACAAAATAATAATTCTTTTAATCCCTCTACTTCTAACATATTCATTTTATTATTTTCAAAAGCCCTTCTAGTAAATTCTCCTTTTTTACTTTCTCTTATTTTTATGAAATCATTTAAATCATGTAACTTTTCCTTTATCTCATCACTTGTGTTAATATAATTGGAAGCATTATTATAATAATTTTCTTTTTCTTCTTTTAATATTTTATAAAATAATTCATTTAAATTACTTATTTCATTCATAATTTCTTTTATTATAAAAGGATTTCCATGACAGTATATCTCTACAATATCTTCACCTGTATATGATTTCGGATTTTCAAAATAAGCAAACATAATTTTATCAATCACATTATTATCGTTATCATATAATTCTCCCATATATAATTTTCTTGTTTCAAAATTTTTCTTTAGGTTAATGATTTCATCTAAATTATATTCATTTTTTTTTTTCATTCTTTTAAACTCCGAATGTCCATCATTACTTTTGTTTTCTACATTTTTCATAAAATTAATTAAATTTTTTTTGGAATTTTTATGTAACAAAATTTCTAAAATAATTTTACTTAATTCACCTGATATTCTTATTATACTAATTGCACTTAATACATTTCCCGAGCTAAGTGCATATATTGTCTCTCTATTGCTCAATAGTTTATTCAGATATTCATTTCTTAAATTTCCATCTTTTAAATAATCATTTTTCATAACTTCATTTTTTGAAATATCTTCTAAAATATTCTTTTGCTCATTTTTTTTCTCTTCAATATTTTTATAACTTAAAAAAAACTTATCTTTTACTTCACTATTTTTATTTGCTCTCTTTTTTCTGATTAAAACTTTTATGTCTTTAATATAAGATTTTAATGATATATATAAAAATACATTATTATATTTTTTTTTTTTTATACCTCTACAATAATTGAAAAAAAAAATTAATACGAAATATTTTATAAAAAAGAATAAATTCCTATTCATTAAGTATCTATGTTAAAATAAAAAATTATCTCTTAATATTACATATTTTTCATTTATAAATAAAACAATAATTCATTTTTTTCCTTTATTTTTTTTTTTTTCCTTTTTTTTTTTTTTTTTTTACATTTAAAAAAAATGAAAAAAAAAAAAAAAAAAAAAAAAAAAAAAAAAATTAAATATAAATATTCATTAATTATAAAAAAATATTTTTTCAAATGAGAATAATCACAAAATTAAAATGAATTTAAGTAAAACAAAAAACAAATTGATGTTTAATGACATTTATATATAATTTATTTTTCTTAACAAAAAAACAAAATAATAAATAAATTATATATACCATGTATACCTTAAATTATGCTTTAAATATAATTTTATTATTTATACATATTTATAATTATATATATATATATACATGTATTAATAAAAGTTCTTTTTAGACTAAATTAAGAAATAAAATAAAATTATTTTTATCTGTTTGAATATTCAAGGAATTCCCTATTGTTATTTCTCCTTTATCTATTAACTGTTGAAATGTTGAATTTAGTTTTTGTTCATAATTTTTTCTTAAATATTTGGATGATATAAATAATATAGAAGAATCTGATGATATATTAATATTCTTTGAATTATAATTTGTTTTTATAAAATCAACAAGCTTATTTAATTTATCTATCTTATTAAAAGTTAACTTTATTTCTTTTTTATTACAAATCATACAATTAGGAGATTTGTAAATTTTATAATAATACATATATATTCCATTATCTCCAACATATAATATATCACTATAATTATTTTCTCTATTTCTAAATGTAATAATATTGAAAAGTTCAGTTATCATTAATGAAGAAATTATCATTAATGTACTAATAGTTGTAGGAATTGAATTTTTTACTACTTTTTCAGTTAACGAATATGATAAATTATTTATATGAAACAACTGAGCCCTTTTTTTTGACTCTTCGTATATCCATTTTATATGGTTTTCATTATCTTTATCTAATTTTTCTTTTTTTATATCTTTGAATGAAACATTCATAACATATAATATGCATTCCTCAGGTGTTTTAGGTTTGTTAATAATAGAACAAATAGGAAAAGAATAATTAGAATAATTTTCAATTGTACAATTGAAACAAGCAAACTCATTTTTTCTATCTATAATTTTAATACTACCTTTAAATCCTTCTACTCCACCATCTATATATATAATATCTTTTTTTAAATTAAAGATTAAATTATTAAGATATATTCTACTATCTATGTTATCTAAGCAACCAATAATAAAATCAAAATCTTCAAAAAAACCTAAATCAAAAAGTTCTATCTTTTTTATATAACTTCTTATATTAACGTCTTTATATTTATCTTTTATTATTCTATTAATTACATTAACTTTAAAATTACCTATATCATTAGGTGTAAAAAATAATTGTCTCTGTAAATTACTTATTTCTACAAAGTCATAATCAACAATAGTTATATTTTTTATATTTATATAAATTAAATTTTTTATGACTTCATTACCTAATCCTCCACATCCAACAACCAACACATTCAATTTTTCAAATTCGTAAATCATAGTTTTAATATAAAAAGTAATAAATTATCTTACATAGTTAAATTATAATTATATAACATTTTTTTTTTTTTTTTTTTTTTATTTACAAATTGTAGAAATTAAAATTATAAAAACTTATTTATTTCATTTTATAAGAATAGGAAGTTTTTTAAATTACATTTATTTTGCTTCATTTTATTTTTCTTTTTATTCTAAAAATTACTTATTAAATCTTTAAAATTTATAAATTCTTATAATTTATTATATTTTTCTTTAATAAAATTTTAATTTATATATTACTATAAAACTTAATTTATAAAATTGGTATGCCAATCCTTTAAATGTATACAAAACTGCTATATCTTTTTATCTATATTCTAAAAATTTATTAACATATTTTCACTATTTAAAAAAAAAAAGTAAAATTTTTTTTTTCTTTTTTTTATATGAAGAGATTTAACAAAATTCTCTAAACTAAAAAAATATAAAGTTAATAAAAAAAAAAAAAAATGAAAATTTTCATAATTTCCACATCATTTTATTTTTTTTTTTTAATATTCTATATTTTTAGATTTACATCTAAAAAAATATTTTTTTTTTTCAATATTAAATATATATATATTCATACTAATGTTTCTCTTCCTATTACAAAAAAAACAAAAAAAAAAAAAAAAAAAANTTAAAAAAAAAAAAAAAAAAAAAAAAAAAAAACAGAAAATTGAACATAATAATTTTAGAGAATTTCTGTTTTTTTAAATATTAAACATGAACTAATAATGAGTAAAAAAGGAAAATAAAAATAGTTGAAAAATTATATAACTTCTCTATATTTTATTTTTTTTTTTTTTTATTTTAATTTTGCTATTTAATTAATCTTGTTTATTTCACATTTTTTTTTTTTTTCAAGTTGAATTTTAATTGAAATAATTTGTTGTTATATATATATATAATGCATATATTTAGAAAAAAATTCTATTAATAATATATTGTTCTTACGAAAATTAAAATAAGAAATATTATATAAAAATAAATAATATATTTATATATATATATATATATATTTTTTTTTTTTTAAAATAAGACGCACAAAATATAAATCGAATTACGTAACAGATGCAATGGGTTATGTTTTTATGTGAATTATCAAAAAAATTTTAAGAAAAAAAATAAGATATCTTATTTTTATTATATACATGTAATATGTAAAATATATAAACGGATGACATTTTTCGGATTAAAAATAATTTAATTATTTTTTTCAATATATATATATATATATATATATTAAAGATTGTACATGGCATATTATGTTGTTTTTCAACATTATGCTAAAAAATTGGAAAATATATATATGTATGGTAGTAATTATAATCATTTTTAATTTATGACATATATTTTTTTGAATATTATATTTTTAATATATATGATTAATTTTTTGTGATTATTAAAAAATTTTAACTTTTCACTATATTATCAATAATTGATGATATCTCGTCGAAAACTTCATTAATAGATTTTTCTCCATCTACATTTTTGCATACATCAGTAAAAAGAGAAATAATTTTTTCTTCGTTGTCTTTATATAAGCTAAATCTTTTATGAAAAACATTTTCCTCATCATCACCTCTTTTTATTAATCTACTAATATCTTCATCACTTAAATTATTATAATCCTCATTTTGTGATACTATTTTTTCTTCCTCTTCAGTTAATTCTCCTCCTCTTTTTTTTTTAATTAATTCAATTATTTTTTCGTCATAATTTATATTAGTAACAGGATCTACTAATCTATTGTTAATTCTATCCAATAAACATTCCTTAGAAGTTGTCATATTAATTAATGCATTAACTTTTATATTATTATTTTTAAATGATAGTGCTTGTTCATATGTTCTTGGAAATCCATTAATTAAAATTCCATCAAATTCAACATTATTTATATCATAATTTAAATTTTGAAAAAAAATCCTTGATACAATTTCATCAGGTACAAGCGAACCATCATTAATACATTTTTCTACAACTTCTAAATCTCCTTTTTCTTGTTCACTTAATTTATTTTCATTAGTATCAGAATCTTCAGTTAGTTTTCCTTTATTTTCTTCTAAATATTTTTTTAATAACTCACTTGAAGTTAGAATTTTAAAATTATACTTTTGTTTAATTAATCTACATTGGGTATCTTTACCTGATCCTGGTGCACCATTAAAAATTATTATTTTTTTTTTTTCTCCATCTACTTCTTTCTCTTCTTTAATTTCATTTTTCTCTTCATCATTATTTTTGCATATTTCCTCTTTATTTACTTCTGTTATAACTTTATCCACATCTTCATTTTTTTTACTAACATCAACATACTCCTTAATATCTTCTTTTTTTTCAGCTACATTATTTTTACTAGTACTTTGACATGATCCCATATGTGACAACTATTTTGTTATTCTTTAAATATTT